GTGCGAAAGGATTTTCTCCAACAAAAATTCCAAACGATAAAGGTAATTAACCTCTAGGGATCTAAACCTTATGTTACTAACGACAATGCCTTGCTCCACCCCTCAGGTTACGTTTCATAAATTCCTTTTCGGACACCCAAAGACCTCTGAATCCAAAACAAATGGTTTCCAGAACCTTAAATGAAACTGTAACTGTTTTTACCCCGAAGTTAGAAACCTGATTCTCATATATTACAGTTCTTTTAAAACAATCCCTAAGTGATAATAAAAACTCTCAACAAGTACAAAGAGGCATACCTCATAAATTACACAATCACTGGTGATCCACTCGATTACGCTGGTTACCAAAACGAACCGTTTTGGTAACAAAATGTCGGAACGTCGAAGGCACGATTTTTCTTTTTTCTTTATTTCACGCGTTGTAGGCAGAATCCCCACGACGTTTTTTCTCACAACGTGCATCAGTATCATATGTTTTAGAAAATGTACATGTTTGCGAAAAATAGCTCAGAGGACAACAGAATCGTCGATTTACTTCCTCACTTAAGTTACATAAACGGTTTTTCGAAAAACAGTTAAGATCTGCACTTTTAACCCAAACCGTTTATGTAACTTAAGTGAGGAAGTAAATCGACGATTCTGTTGTCTTCTGAACTATTTGTTCGCAAATATGTACACTTTCTTAAACATATGATACTGATACACGTTTGTGTTAAAAAATGTCGTTGGAATTCTGCCTACAAGTGTAAAATAAGGAAACGAGAAAAATCGTACCTTCCGGATGTTCCGACATTTTGTTACCAAAACGGTTCGTTTTTGGTAACCAGCGTAATCGAGTGGATCACCAGTGACAATGGCAAATATGAGCTGTAAACTAGCCTGACTAACGAAAACACCCTCTACTAATGTCGGGCCTACGCGCTTATTTTGATATAATGTTCTCGGGTTGTAAACAGCTGATACGATTATCCTGTTAAAGTGATAGCTTAATTACAAATAAACCGCAACACTCAAAAGTTATCCGCTAATTAGACAATTAACTCTCTTTCTTAAAACCTCCAAAGGAATTACTTGCTTTTCACTCTAGCGGCTGCCCGCAAATTGTAAACAATCATGGACTAAAAACAGGGATACTTATGTCTCTCCTATTTCTCTGTCTGTCCTCTATCACACAAAGTGATCTCTGACTGATCTATTCACACTATACAGATAATAATAACTAATTCACGGTCTTGCTTTTATGTTCGGAGACTCCCTATATTTTTTTCTCTTTCGCTTTCAAACCTCTAAATGTTTGAACTAATGGATAACAGAAAATAATAAGGAATCAATGATAATCAACCCTTATTACAGATTCGCTCAGGCTTTCCAATGTATCGCCTAATCTTCTAATCTATTAACTATTAAATGATAGAGCAAGCTCAAAGGAATTAAAATCTATTCATTGTAATGATCTATTGATCGGTAGATATTGATATAATGGTGTGAGTTCATAGAATAATATATATGACAAGCACTAGATGATGGTGTTGAGAATAGAGGCCACTTTTACGGGGTCAGGTTTGACTGTAGGACTTGACGCACTAAATCCTGAAAGACCTCACTGGCGCTACATATTGCAAAGTTCATAGCGGAATAGACCACAGTGAGTTTGAAAGGTGGTTATATACCGTGACTGGGTGTAGTTCTATTTGATGGTATCCTTTATTTAGGTCGATCTTTGAAAATGTGTTCGCACTGTTCACTTGGCGGATTATGCCGTCCATTGTTGGTGTAAAATGGCGGGTTCCCTGGATTGCAGTATTGGCGGATCTCATGTCGGTACATATCCTGATTTGGTCTGACTGCTTCTTGTTGACAATAACGATAGGTGATACCCATGGGGTAGGGCCGTCAACGGGTTCAATGATATCATGTGAAAGAAGACTTTTGATTTCAGCCTCTACTTTTTCACAAGGTGAAATGGTGTTCGATTGTGGGTTTGGGCAACAGGGGGTACAGAACTGTCAATGTGTAGTTTCACTTGTTTATCCTTTAGTTTCCCTATTCCCTTTAAGATGGAGCTTTGGTTGTTTAAGATATCCTGAATAACTGAGGGTGTCACTGGGGTTGTCCCAGCATGGTTGAGGTTGTATGTTATTCTGATAAGCTCCAGCTGTCTTGCAGCTTCATAAGCTAGGATGGGTATTATAGAGGGGTCATCTATAACACAGATGGTGGTGGTAATGGTTATGCTTCAATAGCTAAGGGAGGTCTTGAAGCTTCCCATAAAACTCAGGGGTTCCTTTCCTGCAAAGGCATACACAGGGGATCTGATTGGTGCCAGTTGTGGTTCTGGGTGTAGATTTTGTAGTGTCTGGTAAATAATCACATTAACAGAGGATCCTGTATCCAGCAGGAAATTGATATCCAGGTTATCCAATTTCAGGGTGATATGTGGGCACTGAGCCCAATACTGCTTCAAGGTAAGTGACTTATTGGAATTTTCAGACCACTCAGGCCTAATCCCATCGTAAGCCATTTTACCAAAGTTGCCAAGACCTCATCCTTCTGTAAAGATTCATCAAATTCCCCAGGAGTAATACCAGGAGCCCAGTTCGAAACGGAAACTGTAATATTCCGCAAAAGAGGAGAAGAATCATTTGCTGAAAAGACAACATCAAGACTTCCAACTTGCAGTCCCTCTTCAGGTTCTCTGTTTTCATTAACCTGCTTAGAGACTCTACCCAAGTTTTCCTGTCTTTCACAGTAAGAACAGTCTTCACAAGGCGTCCTAGATAAACCATCTGCATTCAAGTGTTTAGTGCCAGCCCGATGTTCTATCTTGAAGTCATTCTGCCCTAACCTTTCCATCCACCTAGCCAATTGGCCCTCTGGTTCTTTGAAACGCATCAACCAAGTCAAAGCTCCATGATCAGTTCGAACCCTAAAGTGACTACCATAAAGATAATGATGGAAGACCTTCACAGCTCTGACAATTGCTAAAAGCTCAAGTCTGGTGACACAATAGTTTCTTTCTGTTTTACTCAGAGACTTACTATAATGACTAAGGACCTTGACCTCACCATCAACTTCCTGTTGAAGTACAGCACCAACCTGACAAGCAGAAGCATCAGTGTCAAGAATGAACTCTTTTGATTTGTCAGGAAAATTCAACATGGCTGATCCAATATATCTTCTTTTCAATTCATCAAAGGCCTTTTGACAATCAGAACTCCCAATTAAAACGAATGCCCTTCTCAGTGAGCTTGTACAAAGGCCTAGCTATACCAGAAAAGTCCTTGATAAATTTCCGATAATAGGAACAGTAGCCCACAAAAGATTGAATTTGTTTGACAGTTCGGTGCAGGCCACCCAACAATGGATTCAGTTTTCTTTGGATCAATTCGCACCCCTTGTTCAGAGACAATATGACCTAGATATGACACCTCCTTTTGGAACAGATTACATTTTTTGGGGAAAGCTTCAGACCTGCCCCCCTCATCCGGTCAAATACACTCCCTAGTTTATCCAAATGACTCTGAACATCCACGCTGAACACAACAATATACCAAACAAGACTATGGGGAAAGTCCAGCAAGGACACATTCCATCAAACGCTGAAAAGTTGCTGGCGCATTAGCCAGACCGAAAGGCATAACAGTAAATTCAAACAAACCACGTTTAGTACAAAATGCTGTCTTTTCAGCGTCAGCGCTGTCAAGTGATATTTGCCAAAAACCAGAGGAGAGATCAAGAACACTGAACCATTTTTCTCCCCCTATTGAGTCTAAAGTGTCATCAATCCTTGGTAAGGGGTACGCGTCCTTAATAGTCACGTCATTCAATTTTCTAAAATCTATACACAGTCTATAAGATCCGTCTTTTTTCGGTACCATCACCACAGGTGAGGCCCAAGGGCTTTTCGAAGGTTGAGCAAGTCCACGTTTTAACATTTCGTCCAGGGTTTCTTGATACCCATACCATATTAAATACCCATTGTCACGATCATAGCAGACATTGCAGTACTATTTTATTTTACATTGTGACGGTCATGGCAGGCCTTGCAAAACGTGCAACGTGCAGTATGACAAGTGATTTTAGACGGTCATATCTTTCACCATGAGTACTTTCTGGGCATAAATACAGTGGTTTTTATTAAAACGGTAGGTTTTAATAATCTACATGATCTTATTATGCTATGAAGCTTACACAGATAGTAGAAATATATCTAAGATACAAAATGTGAAATTTTTATCATTGTATCTCAAATATTCTATGAATTAGAATAAAAATTTCAAGACTTATAGGACAACCCTCGTATACAAATCATAGCACTTTAATGTACCAAACAATCAAGAGCTTGAAATTGATTCGAAACTAAAACATCAAATAGAAAAATACCGTATGAGCAACAGTATTGAATAAGATAATAGCTTACGATATCATTTATTTGGTCAATTTGTACGTTTAGTTTTTTTAGTTTTAAAGTAGTTTATTTTTGTGTCACTGATATTACAATATACATATAAAATACATAATAAAAACAACATTTTGTAACATCACCAGCCTGTGCCGACTTATGAGACACAGTATACATTATATCTGATTATATCTACATTAATAACCATTGATATCAATTCAAAACTCTGATTCATCAGTTTGGCATATATCAGCAGTTCATGGAATCATATTGTCAATCATTACATTAAATACATATATTGCACCTAATGTGAGATGGTGGTATGCTGAGCGTGTAGTATAAATTATAATTTTTAGATAAAACGAGAATGGTATTTCTTTGTTTCTGTTACATGGTACAAGGATCACTCTTCAAATCTTTTCTCAGAACATTCTCTCGCCCATTCCCAATATCTTTTATTTTCGTCCTCTGTGAGAAATAATATTCTCCCCAATTCTCTCTGTTCGATGTTTATAAACCTTTTTTCTCGCGAAGGTATATAAAGATGGTGTAAGGAAGTTAGGGACGTATCCCTTTTTTATGTTCCTTCTCACAACTTCTATGTTTTTTTAAAATTGTCCAACTTTAGGTGCTCTTCCTTTGGAAGGAGGAAGAAGTCTCTAAACGAATAATCCTTGAAGTCAGTCGTCCATTTGATGTACATGCACAAAAGCACAGCCTCCGATGAATAGATGGGCATGATGTCATCTCCCGCACACTCTGTCCGTCCCTGTAGAACCTTAAATTAATAAAACAAATCATTATAGCTTCTTTGAATAATTTTTACATATCTGAACATGTTTATTTTCTTCATTTATTTATTGATCTCAAAATATTAAGGCTAGTAGACGGTGGTATGCTGAGCGTGTAGTATAAATTATAATTTTTAGATAAAACGAGAATGGTATTTCTTTGTTTCTGTTACATGGTACGAAGATCACTCATCAAATCTTTTCTCAGAACATTCTCTCGCCCATTCCCAATATCTTTTATTTTCGTCCTCTGTGAGAAATAATATTCTCCCCAATTCTCTCTCTTCGATGTTTATAAACATTTTTCTCGCGAAGGTATATAAAGATGGTGTAAGGAAGTTAGCGACGTATCCCTTTCTTATGTTCCTTCTCACAACTTCTATGTTTTTTTTAAATTGTCCAACTTTAGGTGCTTTTCCTCTGGAAGGAGGAAGAAGTCCCTAAACGAATAATCCTTGAAGCCAGTCATTCATTTGATGTACATGTACAAAAGCACAGCCTCCGATGAATAGATGGGCCTGATGTCATCTCCCACAGACTCTGTCCGTCCCTGTAGAGCCTTAGATTAATAAAACAAATCATTATAGCTTCTTTGAATAATTTTTACATATCTGAACATGTTTATTTTCTTCATTTTTTTTATTTATTGATCTCAAAATATTAAGTTTGTAAATTATCCCTTTACTTTTTAGTTCTATTTAACATAACGTTTTTTATACTCATTATTTTATTATTAATAATGGCAACAGCACTCATGGTAAATTCAAAGAAAGTAAACGAAGCTGAACATGTTAATTTATAACAATGCATATTAATTAATATTAACCACTGTCTAAGCTTCTTTGAAAATAGATATTGTAATACCGGAGCATCTTCGTCGGTAAAATCTTCTGCTGGGGACATCTCAATTTTCACATTCTCTTCTGTTAAAATATGTTGTCTAATTCTGAAGATAGACGGTTCCTGTTGCATTGGAGTTTCACCCATCTTCAGCGGATTCCCCCAATATTGTTGTACATCTGTTAAAGGAATATGTTTTTTCACATGATTATTATATTTATGAGATCGTTTACATAAGTAACCTGTACAGCATGTATCTGTATAGACAGTTGATCAAACTGACGATATCTGATAGTGGGCTACTCCCTTCAGCCTCTGCAAAAACAGAAGCTTGAATCCTATTGGCTCACATAAAATACATTATGTTTCAAGGCAAGCTAAAACATAATGCACCTTTATGTTTACCACCTATTGATTATTAATCAAACATAACAATTTAAGTTCTTGTTGGTGCATAGGTTTGCCTGTAGTGAATTTTTATTTTTTAGATTTCATATTTATGTATTTTTAATCAAATAAAAGATGGCATGACCGCCACACACACACACCTGTTAAAAATAGAACAACAGGTGTATGTCATGCCCAAAAAGAAAAAGCACAGTAGATGGGCGCCTGTTACAAGATGGCCGCCATTTGAAAATTCAAAAAAGCTGGGTGTATGACGTCATCCGATAAGTGGTTAATCTGATAAGTGATAAGTGTGTTACGTCAGCAGTGGAATAAGTTGGACTGATAAGTGGTGAATAACTGATAAGTGATAAGTGTTTTGTGAATTGTTTTTGAAGATGGCGGGTTAATCATTAATAAACAAACAAACAAACAAGCAAATAGGTTATGGGCGTAAAGAACCTGTATTCATATAACAACCGAGCTCACAATAGGTGCCCATCCATAATATTTGCACCACTAATAAGGATAAAATTCAGGAGACACCCGGATTCGAACCAGTGACCTATCAATCTGCAGTTGATTTCTCTACCACTGAGCTATATCTCCATCCTCCTATTTTGATAAAAATGTATAACTTGATGGCCGTGTATTATATTACAGCCAAATAGCCGAGCTCACAATATGTGCCCATTCATACGCACACAATACACGCCCACATCCCCTCTTGGTTTGAATGATCCAACACATAGATTGTAAAATAAAATGTGTAATACCTATATGTCTAAGGATTGCAAGGCAAATACCTCCTTTAATCCGCCAGATAAAATGTCGTATGTTCCCTGGTTGTGAATGTGGGATATCATATAGCGATCTGGGTCCTTGTGTATGGCTATAAACCCGGCGTGTGAAACATTACTTGTCTGCAATTTAAGGTATTGAAACCTTACCGCATTTGATTTAGCGTCCCATTGCTCATTGATCTCATCATAATCGCCATCGTCTCCATGGCCAGTGTCGTCGGCTAACAACCGGAGTAGCCATAGCTCTTTTACCCACTGTTGTGCTGGCTCCTGTACTAATCGGTGCAGCGCACAAAAATTAAAACAAGTCTATTCCCGTTGCCAATAAGGACTGGCTGAATGGTGAGATAGCGTGAATCTCGTACAAGACGTGTTGCCTATCACTGGTTGTGGGGTCGAGAGAGTAGACGTCTCCTGGTTGAATAAACGTCAAATTGGCATCGCGTACCGGCTCTCGCATAAAGACCAATGCTGATGTCGTCCTAAGTTAAATCGTCTAAAAAGTGTTATGTGCATAATTATGTGAAATATTTGTCTATATATTATATATTTGATAATATACATACTTAGGTTTGTGATTACTCATTGTTTATGTTATTGATAGTCAATGACCCTGCATTGCAGCATGTTACCTAGATCTTTGACAGGCACTCGTCCTGTGCCAAATGTCCCTCGTAGGTGCATGTACCTGCCTAGCACGACCCACTGACTGTCTTCTAAAAAGTTCTTGAAGGCGTCTGCTAAACTGACATGGTGACCCTGTAGTGAGGGGCCGTTTACCCAGTCCATTGTGCATCCTGCAACAAGTTGTTGGCGATCACCAACCCACTCAAAAACAGATCGTTCTACCTCAAAGATTGCTAGCATTCCTCCCGGGGGGTTCAACCCCAAAGTCACATGGGCAATAGTTACGGCGCAGCTCATAAGTGCCGTATTGTAACAGCTCCCTGCCCAAATTCTCATCGATACGAAATGGGTGAACACGGGGTCTCTAATACAGCATCTCTCCACGAGTTTTCTGTCGGCCTGTGTTAATTGCTTTCCCGCGCCGTACGTTGGTAGTGCATCAACGTGTATCTGAAGGTATATACCAATGTCTTGACCATCAACTGCGAATGTCTGTTTTAAGGCAGTAAACACAGGTTCAACAAATTGCTCAGGTGGTTCTTCATAGCTGTGCGGTATTAGAGTAAACCGCAACTTGTCATACGTGATGATGGTATCTGTATCACACCCAAATCCATTTGCTACATGAAGACCCGACTGGCCTCTATACATTGTCAGACCCGGGTGTTCCTCGCGGCCCTCTCTTAGAGTGACACCCTCAACTCTATAATGGAACTTTTCTCCCCTAGGTGTCGCGTCTAAGATGTTGGTAATCGCCTTCACTGTTTCACCCCATACCCTCAATTGAGGAGGCGGTGTCATCGAAAAGTCCATTTCTATAACGATTACTTTCGTATCGGGTTCAATCAACCTCATCAAACCATCTTTTGCCCCATTTATTAATGCAGCTGGTGTGGATCAATGCCTCAGACAACATTTCGTACTTTTTGAATTTCTGTCAGAACAGCTAGTCTTAGAGGTAGTGTCATCTTTTGTAGCCTTCCGGTTGTCGATGTACATGTACAAAAGCACATAAAGATGGGCATGATGTCATCTCCCGCAGACTCTGTCCGTCCCTGTAGAGCCTTAAATTAATAAAACAAATCATTATAGCTTATTTGAATAATTTTTACATATCTGAACATGTTTATTTTCTTCATTTATTTATTGATCTCAAAATATTAAGGCTATTAGACGGTGGTATGCTGAGCGTGTAGTATAAATTATAATTTTTAGATAAAACGAGAATGATATTTCTTTGTTTCTGTTACATGGTACGAGGATCACTCATCAAATCTTTTCTCAGAACATTCTCTCGCCCATTCCCAATATCTTTTATTTTCGTCCTCTGTGAGAAATAATATTCTCCCCAATTCTCTCTGTTCGATGTTTATAAACCTTTTTCTCGCGAAGGTATTTAAAGATGGTGTAAGGAAGTTAGCGACATATCCCTTTCTTATGTTCCTTCTCACAACTTCTATGTTTTTTTTTAAATTGTCCAAGCTGGGTGTATGACGTCTTCCGATAAGTGGTTAATCTGATAAGTGATAAGTGTGTTACGTCAGCAGTGGAATAAGTTGGACTGATAAGTGGTGAATAACTGATAAGTGATAAGTGTTTTGTGAATTGTTTTTGAAGATGGCGGGTTAATCATTATTAAACAAACAAACAAACAAGCAAATAGGTTATGGGCGTAAAGAACCTGTATTCATATAACAACCGAGCTCACAATAGGTGCCCATCCATAATATTTGCACCACTAATAAGGATAAAATTTAGGAGACACCCGGATTCGAACCAGGGACCTATCAATCTGCAGTCGATTTCTCTACCACTGAGCTATATCTCCATCCTCCTATTTTGATAAAAATGTATAACTTGATGGCTGTGTATTATATTACAACCAAATAGCCGAGCTCACAATATGTGCCCATTCATACGCACACAATACACGCCCACATCCCCTCTTTGTTTGAATGATCCAACACATAGATTGTAAAATAAAATGTGTAATACCTATATGTCTAAGGATTGCAAGGCAAATACCTCCTTTAATCCGCCAGATAAAATGTCGTATGTTCCCTGGTTGTGAATGTAGGATATCATATAGCGATCTGGGTCCTTGTGTATGGCTATAAACCCGGCGTGTGAAACATTACTTGTCTGCGATTTAAGGTATTGAAACCTTACCACTTTGATTTAGCGTCCCATTGTTCATTGATCTCATCATAATCGCCATCGTCTCCATGGCCAGTGTCATCGGCTAACAACCGGAGTAGCCATAGCTCTTTTACCCACTGTTGTGCTGGCTCCTGTACTAATCGGTGCAGCGCACAAAAATTAAAACAAGTCTATTCCCGTTGCCAATAAGGACTGGCTGAATGGTGAGATAGCGTGAATCTCATACAAGACGTGTTGCCTATCACTGGTTGTGGGGTCAAGAGAGTAGACGTCTCCTGGTTGAATAAACGTCAAATTGGCATCGCGTACCGGCTCTCGCATAAAGACCAATGCTGATGTCATCCTAAGTTAAATCGTCTAAAAAGTGTTATGTGCATAATTATGTGAAATATTTGTCTATATATTATATATTTGATAATATACATACTTAGGTTTGTGATTACTCATTGTTTATGTTATTGATAGTCAATGACCCTGCATTGCAGCATGTTACCTAGATCTTTTTCAGGCACTCGTCCTGTGCCAAATGTCCCTCGTAAACTGCAACATGATTGGTTGATTCCAGTTTAAAATTAGAAACAAACCAATTTCAAATTATTCCATACTGGTACTACCAAAAAAGAAACATAAATCCAATAATATAACATATATACAAAGTGTGATATTTATACAGTGTTTTTACAGTCAAGGTAATCAAGCTGAATTCATTATAGCAAGAGAAATGCGAGTGGACTGTAATTACCCCATACAATTGAATATACAGCATGAATACTATATGGTCATATAAACTGAAAATAAGGTGTGTCACACATTGTAGTGTTTGCAAACTGATGTGTACACTTTTTGACCTAAGTTCACTTCAGCTCAAAAAAGGGACCTGTCAATTTCTAACATTTTATAATGTCCATTAAGGAAAAGTCAATTAACCAAGTGTCTCAAGAATAGCATTGTCCATTAAGAAGGAGGCTGCAAGGGCACTCTTTACAGCATTTATAAAGCTGGGATTTATCTTGGAATTAAAAGGCTGAAGCCTAGTCCCAGATTTGTGAACAATAATTAGGGCATTGTTTACCTCACCTTCCTCAAGAAGGCTCATGAGCTCATTACTTGCCCCAAACAAACCATCATCATCATGCCCTGTCATTAACTGGCCATCGACTGTCAATCTATAAGCATAAGGTGATACACCGGTGTTCAAAGTTGCCTTCATGGCGGCAAGAGCATTTTCAGCACTGTTGATGGTATTGACTGTTGCTATAGATGCAATAAAACCATCACAGGGTTGTCCTGAAATAGAATCAGTTTGAGCACTAAATACCTTAACCGGCATTTGAAGGGGAGACTTGGAGAATGTAGGTGACACAAGGCCGTTTGAATCATAGAGGCGATCCTGAACAAGTTTTACTGCCTTGGGATTTGCATCTGTGGTTTTCAAGTTCTTGAAGTTACCATACTGTGCATCGCGCCTTAACTGCATATCCCTTGGTAGCTGTCTTGCCACTCTGATATCAGAACCTTTTAAGTTGTGCACAAACTTAAAAATTCTCTCCACACTTGATCGGTCTGCAAATTTCACAACGATTGGGCGATGTCCTCTTCCTTGTTTCCCAATGGGATGGGCAATATCAATTCGAATTATCCCAGATAAATTATCCACAGAATGGAGGCTATCACGGGGAATCTTAAGTTTCGACACAAGTATATTTCCGATCAGGTTCTCATAATAACGCTCTGATCTGTCATTGTTTTGTGGGATGTTGTAGAATATCAGATTCATTTTCATAGATCTGAATCTAATATCAGAGATATCATCAGTTAGCTCGCCAAAACGCATTTTGTAATCCTGGACCGTGTTACAAAGAATGTTCACAGTAGATATTAGCTTTGCATTTGAGTCTTCCAAACGCTTAACCCTATCATCTAGGTCAGCACTTACTTCAACACTTTTTTCAACTTTAGAACACAAATCAGCTAAAGATTTATCCTGTGATGTTTGATGTTGGCTAATTTGTTTGACAGTATCCAGTATTTCTTGAAGAACGACATTATCTGTAACCCCTGTTTTAGACATTTTTGGTGCAGGACTCTTTTCAACAGACTCACTCGTTGAAGATCTGTGGTGTTTTGCTTTTCTAGTTTTGGTAGGCATCAATAGAGCACAATGTGTAACAGTTATAGTCTGTTCTATTCCTTATGTAAACAAGAATAACAGGTCCCTCAAATCAATATGTCCACTCTATGTATAAATCAACTCAACTTCAGCTCCAAATATTACTAAAAGTCCATAATATTGAGACTCCTATTCTTGTCTGGTTAGTCTCTATATATTCATATATCCATATATTCAGTTGTTATCAAAAATCCATATATCCAACTGCTAGGAAATTACTCAAAGTGAGGAGCAGATATTTTACATGTGCATTACATGACCTTTGACCTTTGACGCCCACATCCCCTCTTGGTTTGAATGATCCAACACATAGATTGTAAAATAAAATGTGTAATACCTATATGTCTAAGGATTGCAAGGCAAATACCTCCTTTAATCCGCCAGATAAAATGTCGTATGTTCCCTGGTTGTGAATGTGGGATATCATATAGCGATCTGGGTCCTTGTGTATGGCTATAAACCCGGCGTGTGAAACATTACTTGTCTGCAATTTAAGGTATTGAAACCTTACCGCATTTGATTTAGCGTCCCATTGCTCATTGATCTCATCATAATTGCCATCGTCTCCATGGCCAGTGTCGTCGGCTAACAACCGGAGTAGCCATAGCTCTTTTACCCACTATTGTGCTGGCTCCTGTACTAATTGGTGCAGCGCACAAAAATTAAAACACAAGTCTATTCCCATTGCCAATAAGGACTGGCTGAATGGTGAGATAGCGTGAATCTCGTACAAGACGTGTTGCCTATCACTGGTTGTGGGGTCGAGAGAGTAGACGTCTCCTGGTTGAATAAACGTCAAATTGGCATCGCGTACCGGCTCTCGCATAAAGACCAATGCTGATGTCGTCCTAAGTTAAATCGTCTAAAAAGTGTTATGTGCATAATTATGTGAAATATTTGTCTATATATTATATATTTGATAATATACATACTTAGGTTTGTGATTGCTCATTGTTTATGTTATTGATAGTCAATGACCCTGCATTGCAGGATGTTACCTACATCTTTGACAGGCACTCGTCCTGTGCCAAATGTCCTTCGTAGGTGCATGTACCTGCCTAGCACGACCCACTGACTGTCTTCTAAAAAGTTCTTGAAGGCGTCTGCTAAACTGACATGGTGACCCTGTAGTGAGGGGCCGTTTACCCAGTCCATTGTGCATCCTGCAACAAGTTGTTGGCGATCACCAACCCGCTCAAAAACAGATCGTTCTACCTCAAAGCTCGCTAGCATTCCTCCTGGGGGGATCAACCCCAAAGTCACATGGGCAATAGCTACGGCGCAGCTCATAAGTGCCGTATTGTAACAGCTCCCCGCCCAAATTCTCATCGATACGAAATGGGGGAACACGGGGTCTCTAATACAGCATCTCTCCACGAGTTTTCTGTCGGCCTGTGTTAATTGCTTTCCCGCGCCGTACGTTGGTAGTGCATCAACGTGTATCTGAAGGTATATACCAATGTCTTGACCATCAACTGCGAATGTCCGTTTTAAGGCAGTAAACACAGGTTCAACAAATTGCTCAGGTGGTTCTTCATAGCTGTGCGGTATTAGAGTAAACATCTACCCCCTCCTCAGATCATAATGACAGAGCTGAAAATGTTTCAACTCAAGATACTGAAAGTCGGGGACGGACCGACATAAATGAGAATACTCCGAGTCAAAATAATAATACTGATCGTCAAAGTCAGAATGACAGAAATCAAAATGTTCCGAATCAAATCGAAGCAAAAAATGAGGGTCAAGATTATGAAAATCAAGCTGATAGCCATTCAACTAGAAATACCCAGCCCGCCTACTGATCAAAGTCAAGAGGAATACATCCAACTTGAAATTCCTAGCGACAGCGACTTTGACTCAAGCGGGCATGATAGCAATGAAAATAATCCTGATAAACAGCCAATTACAGATTTTTATACGAAATCGAATGTGAGTAGTAGGCATCATAGGGGCTTGAGGACGGACGAACTGACTCATTCTTATAAGCTACATATACCTCAAGGACTATCTTTGGTACAACTGCTTGACCTCCTTCATAGACTTTTTGACCATATCATATTCAATGAGCATGGCATCTTTGTAGGCTTGTATCAACTGTAGCCCCAGTTGTTTCGCTAAAATCCTTACACTTGACATAGCTCTAGGTGACCTGAACAAACACATGTACTGAGCGTTATTAGCTATAACCCTACTTCTTGGTCCTTCATAGAAAATGTGTTGCAGTACATACATGACGGATAGACCTAAAAACAACACACATACCACCATTAAAAAAAAGGTCTAGCTGTAATGCTAGAGTATGATGATGATGCTAACTTAACCAATTTGTGTAGTGGTATATTTTTATATTATTTTGTTTACCTGCATGATGTGTGCCACAGGTGAACAATCATTCTGTGAATGAGTCCTTACTAGCACTATGGGCTAGGTCATCGATGATCACCATTAAATGGCCGCTGTCTTTAGAATATTTTCTTATGAGGCTTTCATTGGGGAGTAAAGTTGGGGATTTCAGACTCCATTTTAGCATAGAAATCATCGTATATACCATAACAGTATAACACGGATGTAGTTTTTTTTTCTATAAACAAACTGGGGGCTTCTTTTAGAAATTTATAAATAAAATATGTTTTTCCAGAATAACTTGACCCCGCTAGAATGTATGAACTTAATGGTCGAAAACCACTTTCAACAATAAATGTAGTGTCACCTTTTGTCATCATCGACTCCATCCTAGTGCGTCAAATGATCTAATGTTAAGGGGACAGGGGTATTTATAGGGGGAGTAAACAGAATGTCAGTTTATCTATATTTCATAATCTATAACATAGGTATGTTAATATTTATTACACATTTCTATTTACAATATAATGCCAGAATTAGTCATATCATACAATGCTTATGTTACTATAAACTCCTATACCAACTCGATATGTTCAACATAGGTTATGCCAAGAGTCACTCAGTTATCAGTAGTCGGTTACATAGTTGGCGAAATTGGGCTATAATACCCAAAAGGTCTATAATCATCCACACTACTTCCACATGCAAAGTCCTCTGGTGTAGCCAGTGGTGTATAGTCATTAATGTTAACACCAGAAAAGTCAACATTGAGACCTGCTAAGGATGACATGCCTCCGCCGTAGCTATTGCCATTGAACGCCGAATATGTAGGCATCATTGTTTGAAATGGGTCTTTGAGGTCCTCAGTAGGTGTAAGGGACACCGTCTGTGTTGAGGCATCGGCCGTGGTGTGTGTTTCACTGTTACTATACGCCTTTGGCATCTTTAACTTGAAGGGTCTAAGTTTAGGTGGTAGTCCACTGGACTTAGTGAGACCTGGTGACTTATATTGACTAGGGTCTGATATACCTGCAAACACATACACGCACACATAAATAGGGATATACTAGAGAGGTTAAGCTACACGTATTTAACAAAACTTGAACGTGAACTTCAATGCGCGCGCAGATAAATGTCGTCAGATTTGTTTATTTCCTGTGGGCCAGCGTGAAGTTTACAAGTCTCTACATGAGATTATCACATTCGTGCAATTTACAGACGCGTATTCAACAAAGCATGAACGTGTACTTCTATGCGCGCGCAGGAAAATGACCTCAGATTAGTCTACTTTCTACAGCTAAGCGTGAAAGTTAGAGGTTTTTACGTGTAGATGAGTGATTACACGTCGCTCATTACGTGATTGGTTTTAGCTATGTTCTAGGATTGCCCGGGAGCCCATATTTGAAACAAACAATCTTGCTTGTTATATCGGTAAACCCCAATCCTTAATTGGAAATAAGGATACATTTTAATGAGCAAATGACAATCTCAAATGTGATCGTTTGTTCATTCCGTACAATATAAATAGGCAGGGCCAATTTGATTCCCGGGGCTTGGTGCAATAGGTATACTAAACGAAATGAAATGACAACCAGGGCCTACGATTGCCTTATCACTACATTTGATTTGCCTGAATCTGAATGACTGAATGACCTGAATTGATTGCAAATTAAATAATTTCACAATTAATATTACACAAATGGTATATCATATCAGATGTGCAAATATAAAGTTTGCAATCGATTCAGGTCATACTTCAAATTGAAAGATTATACATTTTTTCATCATTTTTTCCTACAAAATGGCTATGGAAAATGCTTCAAAAGCAACTTTTACACTTGTGAAATCCCATACAACTTTGCAAATCGATGGCTTGGAGTCAGAAAGTCCCATCTTCATTTTAGGTATATTTGAGAAAACAGCGTTTAAAGTTTTTGATTGGTTATTACTTCCACATTATTGACCATATAATTTTAGAAAAAAATTGATGATATGCTTGTTACAATATTTCACTAATGCTTAAGTATTAATTCACAATATTCCCTTAATCAAGAGCAATTAATTAAAATGTGGTTGGGACTTTTTGATTTTGATCAGTTTTAGTAAACGTGAGATTATATTTTGTCTCAACTTAAATATGAATCTTTTTGATTTTGATCAGTTTTAGTAAATGTGAGATAATATTGTCTCAACTTAAATATGCATCTTTTTGTTTCTACATAATTTTGTTATTGTTTCAAGTTTATTTAGGTTCAAATTCAACATGGGTCTTCTATATTTTTGAGTTTAATGTTTTGAATCCTCTAAATATACATAAAAAGCAAAAAATGCTATGAAACAATGTTAAGTTTAACCAATTATTTGCTTGTTTATTTTGCAACTTGTACAGTACATCAAATACATAGTCAAAGTGTAAAAGTAACCTTTCCAGTGAATGTGTTGCCTTGTTACAAATAGCACTCATCTACATGTAATATCTTATTTTAAAATATATTATAGTGGTCTTTAATACATGTAATATTATAATGATATATAACACATATGGATAAGGCCACTTAATTAAGTCAAAATGCTTAATAAAACTGCTTTTGACATTCAGGTCTAAACGCGAAGTGAATAGTTTTGCGAAAACCAAAGTTCAACCTCAGTCAATACTTGGTTAATATCATCAGTTTCATCTCCCTCATCACTCCCTGCTATTGAGATACGATTTTTGATATTTTTGAAGTGACAGATATTTTTGTAATAATTGTGGAAGTCTTCAGGTATGATGCCTTTGGTACAAAGGAGAGCAGGTCTCTATATTTTGGTGTTGATATGGGGAGGTTTGACTTGTATCTTGCAGTGAGTGCTTCATCCCATGGATTTTCATTTGTCTTTTTGAATGTTTCAAAATACGGATTTCAATGAATTGTGCTGGGTCAAATGTGTAGTTCACGAATATTGATTTGTCTACTGATTTTCTGCTTTGTATCCACTTTACTTTTAGCCAATTTACTCTTTCGTTTTTAGTTGAGATTTTCATATTAGTACAACATCTTTTCATAATTTTTTTCACATCTTTGACATTGTGATACTTAATAGGCACTACAGAGTATGGATTTTGTTTTCTTGTCATGGCAATGACAGTGTGTCATTGCGATGGTACGTGTACATCTGTGCATTTTTTGCATGCTCAATGGTGACATGTGCCGAGTCACACTCCATGGATGAATGGCCCGACTCTAAAAATTAATGATTGATTTCTTCCAAATTAGGACATTTCTATAAGGCATATTTATTACCAACTGCAACGAACTGAGTTCTAGTCTGACCACCACAGGTGTCAGAATAGAATGTTATATATTTTAGTTTTGGGTTTGATGCTGTAACTGACAAAATGGTTTTTATTAAACATGTTGAGATTTCACAAGATCCTCTACCAGCCTGAGTTTCATCCCAAACATATTATATTGTGTCACCATTACCAAGGGAATACACAGACAAATTGTATGCATGGAGTTTCCTTGAGTAAAACAGCTCTCCTGCAAATGTACTTGGTGTTTCTAGAACTGATTGTAAGTCAAAGATTGCTGTATACGATTCCTTTTCTGTCTTTGCTTTCATTTTGTCTTTTTCCTTCTCTTCTCTTGCCTTGATTTTATTTTTTTGATGCTTTTCATACTTTAGTTTTGTTTCATCATCCAATGTGCCCATGTCACTTTTAGTTTTATAGACTGTACATAATGTACATTGATCTTTTTGGGCTTAAAAATGACAGATTATACTCATCACAAAAAATCTGACGGTACTTGTAAATAGATACAGGTTTTTCAGAATATACTTCACACTACTTTATATACAGATCATGCATTTTACTTATTGTCAGACCTTTTGACAAGTACTTTCTCTTTGTATGTTTTCTCGTATAGTGGCTTTCAATTATAGGGAAAGACTCAATATGTCTTCTAACAAGATATATATCTGATTTTGATGTTTTTATACCTGGTGGATGTTTCCCGCGTTTATCCTCACCTCCAAAAGTTCCGAATGCTGATTTGTTTTTCAGGTTGTAATGGACAACTTTTTTAGAAATGTCAAGTGTGGAAATGAAGAATTCCCCACAGATTCTGATTCTTTCTCCATTTATCTTGAAATAGTATTTGTATGTATTAAGCTTGGGATGTTTAAGTTCTTCTGGTTTCTGTCGACGTATGGCATCCACTTTATCTATGTTCTCACAAATGAAATCCCTCTGTCTTGAACTTCTTCCTAAAGCATAGTATTGAACAATCAATACTTCGTAAGCGTCTTGCTTTTCTTATTTTTCCAGTTGAAGAAATGTATTCTTGACCAGACATTCGTTTGCCTTTTCTTTGATTAGACATAAAACTAAGAAACAAAAGGTCTCAAGTTTAATTTGGGTCGTTTTAGTTACTGTAGTTACTGTGTTTGCCTCACAAGTGAAAGAATCAGAAAGAATCAGAAAGATCCAAATGTAATTTGGGACTTAATGACTTTTAAGTATAGTAGTTTAGACCCTTTTGTTTCCAATCGATTTTGTTAAAATCTAAATGGGACAATATATTTTAATGTCCATAATTAATTAATTAATTTTTTGTTTTAATTGACATTTTGTGACATGATAGAGAATGATCTGAGGAATATTTCTATACGAAAAGCTCATTTTTGCCAAAAATGAACTTGAGACCTTCTGACTCCAAGCCATCGAAATCCAAAGATTATACTGTTATGTTTCAATAATTAATAACATATTTGGATAAGATGTAGGGATGTGTAGGATGCAAATGGATTTTGACGGACACACAAAGACTTCCTGGTTTGGCATCTCTACCCCTGTACACTTCATGATTGAATATTGGCCCTAATAAGTGGCCCATTCATCAATACAGTGCTGAATAAAGGTCAACAAGATACTAGTGTACATATAAATGTAATGATAAAAGCAGTATATTTATTTTGAAAAATCAGATGAATTTATTTTGTTCATGGGGAGATATTAATGGAGGGCGCACTAGATCATTTAATTTATAGGAAACAAACAAATATATGTATATGTTATAATGAATATTTATCATTTAATATAAATATATACAAACATGTTGGCATCTGGGCATCTCATGAATTGACTGTGACACTCTCTTGCGTATGAAGTCGCTTCGTTTGCGACATGTGAATGAACGTTGAATTCTCCTTCATAGCAAATGAAATCAGTAGCCCCATAATGTGGATGGTGCTATATTTGAAAGCACCATAATGTGGATGGTGCGGCGTTAGTCTGAAAGCGCCATAATGTGGATGGTGCTTAGGTCTGTAAGCCCCATAATGTGGATGGTGCTTGGTTCGGAATGCACCATAATGTGAATGGTGCTAGTCTGGGAGCGCCATAATGTGGATGGTGCTCGAGTCTGAAAGCGCCATAATGTGGATGGTGCTTGAGCGATTGCGCCATAATGTGGATGGCACAACTGTTTGAAGCGCCATAATGTGGATGGTGCTCGAACAGTTAGATTCCATAATGTAATGGAATTGACGATTGCCATGAAGGAGATACGAAAAGTATGTGATTGAATAAGAATGCAATGAACATATGAATTTGAACCTTGGGAATGGAACGAACGCAAGTAAGTGACACAGCCAAGTCCTGTAGACGCCTATAACGTTAGTGTACAATTACAAATAATTATATCTTTAAGACTTTAAGATATCTTAAGATTGTTCATTTATGAGAAAGGAGGTGGTTGGGGAGGTTGGTGGATAGCTATGGATAGATTGATGTTCGCTGGTCGCTAGGTTCAATCGAATAGAACGACTGTATCGTGTGTGCAACGGATAGAGTCACGTTCATCCATCCGAATGATTGACGTGAAGGCGGGGCATGAGAATCAGTATGAATATTTTTCAAGCTTCCTATAAACGATGCTTAACAATATTAAGCAACCATTTATAGGAAACAAACAAATATATGTATATGTTATAATGAATATTTATCATTTAATATAAATATATACAAACATGTTGGCATCTGGGCATCTCATGAATTGACTGTGACACTCTCTTGCGTATGAAGTCGCTTCGTTTGCGACATGTGAATGAACGTTGAATTCTCCTTCATAGCAAATGAAATCAGTAGCCCCATAATGTGGATGGTGCTATATTTGAAAGCACCATAATGTGGATGGTGCGGCGTTAGTCTGAAAGCGCCATAATGTGGATGGTGCTTAGGTCTGTAAGCCCCATAATGTGGATGGTGCTTGGTTCGGAATGCACCATAATGTGAATGGTGCTAGTCTGGGAGCGCCATAATGTGGATGGTGCTCGAGTCTGAAAGCGCCATAATGTGGATGGTGCTTGAGCGATTGCGCCATAATGTGGATGGCACAACTGTTTGAAGCGCCATAATGTGGATGGTGCTCGAACAGTTAGATTCCATAATGTAATGGAATTGACGATTGCCATGAAGGAGATACGAAAAGTATGTGATTGAATAAGAATGCAATGAACATATGAATTTGAACCTTGGGAATGGAACGAACGCAAGTAAGTGACACAGCCAAATCATGGTAGCATGGGTGCTACTATGAGAAACCCCAAGGTAAAGATAATATGTTTATGTATAGTAGCAAGTGTAGGATATGATGTGATAACCACTAATTATAATATGATTATTCATCAAATTCGAACACATTTCCTCAAAAGCAGCACGATAAGTAACGAACCGTTGTGTGATGATTGACATGCTAATAGTTCGTGGTGCTTTTGAATGGACGATTTAAATCGCTCCGACGTCGGATATATAAATACATAGTAAATACACAGATAAATGATAACTATTCCTGAGCAGTCAAATGGAAATACGCCGATAACAATCAGGTGTGTGGTGAAGCCATGGCCCGTTGGCCATCTTTAAGAAGTTGATCATTGGGGCGTATATATCGCCTGAATGAGTCTGATTTCCACCTGCCAAGTGTCATAATTAAACTATCTCCCAGGTGAGAATAAGCTGCACTTGATGCGGCGCCTATACGAAATGAATGTCCACTGAAGTGAGCCGGATCTAAGCCAATGTTATGTAAATGTTGTTTCATTGTACCGATAAAGCTGTCACGGCTTAATGTTGTGCCCTCCAGTGTGAGGAACAGAGGTCCCGATGGGTTTGAGGAATGTTGTTTTTGCCTTACGTCGAGGTATAATTGCATAGCTTTAACCGCACATGTCACGGAATCCGGATTTGAATAAATGGGTATCGTGACGCCGTCGCCCGTACGATCGGTTTTAGATGACTTCAGGTGATATGTGAAATAGCCTTGGTACATTTTAATGTCCTGTAATAACACGACGTTTTGCCCTGGTTGCGTTGTAAATTCTCCACATTTCAGAAATCCAAAGAAAGCCAATGTATAGACTGCCGTAAACATAATATTTTCGTACGGATCAATGCGTTTCGTGACCAAGAATCTGCATAAAGTAGCGAGAATTTCATGAGTTATTGGGCGTCTTAGAGATTGTTTGTTATCCTGAAGCTTGAGTATCGTATTTAGGATCGTAGAAATCCGCGGCATGAGTGTCCCATCAGCAAGATGGAAGGGGTTATTTATCCCAATACGCATGAACACGTATCTCAGTCCTGATAGGTACAGTCGTATTGTTGAGTGCTTCAATCCCTTAAGATGACAATAAGATATGAAGCGCAGAACAATTGCTTCTGATATTGGAGGAATATTGTTGTGTGTGAATTCAACACCGTTAACCTTGAGGAATCCTAGATACGATTTATATCCCTCGTTATACACCTGTTTAGTTTTATGGCTGAGCGATAAGTCCCATAAATGATCCAAATGCGCGTCGATAACACTCACTGCCAGATTACTTGCAGTGGGTTTGGACAGGGGCATGGTGCTGCGTCTGCCCATGGTACCAGCTCCTTGAAGCGATCTATCTGCAAACGACTTAGACTGTCGGCGATATTGTTCGAATTGCCTTTAACGTGGCGAGCGTGAAAATGAAAATTACTTTCACAGGCTCGCCACGTAAGGTTGCGCATCAATTTCATGATAGGCAACACCTTGGACCGTCCTTTATTAATTATTGATACTGTTGCTTCATTGTCACACATGAACACGATGCTTTTCCGAGACCAAAGACTCCCCCAGATGATGGCGGCCACGACAATGGGATATAGTTCTAAGAACGCAATGGAAAGATCCTGGCACTCGATTGAAGGGAGTGTTTCGGGCCAAGGTTCGTAGAAATATGCCCCATTGTAGAAGCCGCCATGACCAAGGGAAGCTGCTGCGTCAGTATATAGGTGCATTTCATTTGATAATATTGGAACTTGTTCATAAAATAAATTCACTCCGTTCCAGTTCGTCAAAAATGTTTGCCACATTGTGAGATCCTCTCGACAATGCTTGTCGAGATATACGTGTTTAAATGGCGTGTCTACGGATGATGCAAGTTTATACAGATAAGATACAAAACTCCGTCCGGGCCTAATAACTCTCGAGGCGAATTGTAGGTGCCCGAGAAGTTGTAAGAGTTGTATTTTAGTACACGTTTTTTGCTTCGAAATAGTATTGATGAACGTTGAGATACGTTCTAATTTCTCGACCGGTAGCCTAGCTTCCATGTTACGTGAGTCTAATATAATCCCTAGATATTCGAGGCATGTAGTTGGTCCTACAACCTTATGCGGGGAAAGAGGGATATTAACTTGTTAAACAACATAGTCATAATCGCCATGGTTCTGTGACCCTCTTCCCAACTTGACGTATTGATTGCCAGGTGATCATCCAATAAATGGATCAAGAAGTCGACATCGTATTTATTCTTGCCAATCCATTCAACGGCTTGGGAAAGGGTATCATAGATCTTAGGGGAAGATCTACATCCGAAACTAAGCCGATGTGATACGTAATATTTATCCTTCCATTTGATGCAGAACCAATGCCATTGTTCAGGTTTGACGGGAATAATTTTAAAAGCGTCTTTTACGTCCCATTTCGATAGTAACGCATTCCGCCCTTTAGATAAAATGCCTTTAATAGCAGTATCCAGAGTTACGTATTGCAGGCTGCATTTTTCCTTATCAATAAAATCGTTGATACTATAGTCCTGATCGTTATGGGGAGATGACAAGTCTATTATCATGCGTTTCTTTTTAGAGTATTTGCTTTCTGCTATTCCAATAGGGCTAACTCGAAAGTGCGCAAAAGGTGGTGTTACGAATGGGCCTAGTAAATATCCCTTAGATAATTCTGTATTCAGCAATTCTTCGACGATCTCTGGTTGCCGACGCGCTGATAATAAATTGTTACAGATTCTGTTGGGGATAGAGATGCCTTCAGGTTGTTCTACTAGGGTGTCGAATCCATATTCGAGGCCGTTGCATAAGTAATTAACGAAATTCGCGTCGGGGTGGTGAATTAAATCCATTCGCAATTGAGGAATATTGATGGGGGTTGAAGCGTTCATGATGTCGGGAATCAGTCAATTTTTATTCTTTCCCTCGTTTTTCCTAGATGAACGAGAGGACGGGGAGATTTTCCTGCCTTCGGAATCTACGCGGACGTGAAGCCTGTAACAATCATCGTAATGACAGCCGCCTTCCGAGTTGAAGTTGTTGCAAACAGGTCTAGATCTTCCGCGTTCGTCTTCGGAGTATATCACTTTTCTGCCTTGTCTATCTGTGTTTTGTTTACCCCGTTTTGCCTCGGATTGTGATGTTTTTCCATTATCGACATCAACGTGCTTTGAGTTGAGGACGAGCTGTAATAGGCGAGTGTCCACTTGTCCCCAGTCAACTTTGATTTGATGATTGATCCAAGCGGCGCACGCTCTTCCTGTGAATAACTTGTGGTATTCGTAGAATACGGCACCGTTTGTGTTGTGAATATCCAGAATATTGTACATGTATTGGCTAAGTTCATCGGCGCGGGAGGGGTAAGCGGCTAACATTATTCGCTTATACTTTTCGAAGGCCGTGATGAATTCTGCAATGGTGAGATGGCGCTTTAGTTTTGGGTCGTTATCCATATTAACAGCCTTGAGCGTCAGTTTTCCGTCGGCCTCTGTATCCAGGGACGGGGCTTTTGATATCTCATAATACGGTATTAACAGACAAGCCATGTTGATGTACTTTCCCGCGAGAATGGCCCGTTTTACACTCGGAGAAATTACATCAATCATCGGGATATCATTTGGATGGATACCTTTCTCGCCAAGTCCTCGTACGATTGTACTAAAAGATGCATCCCAAGGCTCCAGGTTTCTCTCCGCCGATGACGAGGGTGTGGGCACCGGCGGGTCTGATGGTCCTGACGGGGCCTCTAGCTTGTCAACGAGAATGTTGACTGCCTTGGTTAGAGTCTCTACCGATTCCTTGAGATTACTATTAGTTGCCTCATTAGAGCTATCTGACGGCGTTTTCGCATACGGCTTCTCCACACTTTTCTTCTTTGTTTGTTTTTGATTTTTAGATTTTCCTCTAGTTGAAGGCATTGTTAATATAATATTTTGGTTGATATAATAGCTATGGATAGATTGATGTTCGCTGGTCGCTAGGTTCAATCGAATAGAACGACTGTATCGTGTGTGCAACGGATAGAGTCACGTTCATCCATCCGAATGATTGACGTGAAGGCGGGGCATGAGAATCAGTATGAATATTTTTCAAGCTTCCTATAAACGATGCTTAACAATATTAAGCAACCATGAAGGTTGAATATGAAATAAAGCAAAAATAAAAAAACATAATGTTTTGATGCGACCAGATTCGAACCCAGGGCTAACGGACACGAGTCAGAAGTGCTATCCATTACACCATAGAGACATGACTTTAAATACACTCACCACATAAATTTAGCACCACGTCCACTGACTTGGTTTCAGACGTGTAGCTTAACAGAAAATTTTCTTAAACGTGTACTTGAGCGTGGATTTACGCGTTCAGGTTCACGGTTTGCATTTATACGTGTAGCTTAACCTCTCTATTGTTTTTGAAGAAGACCTCCTAAGAATAGTACTTCTCGAGATATGGACGCTGTTTAGTTTTAAGAAATAACTCTAACCTAGGCCTGCTATTTAAGAAGTGTAGTGGATTTTACTTACTATCAATAATGGGTACATCTGAATGATCCTTGATGCAGCTGTCCACCACGTACGTCCAGTTCTGAAGTTTCTCGAAGTCTTGCAATGACAGGGTTACGCAGGCAGACGTTGCGCAGCTACTGTCTGGTGTACTTCTTACACGTCTGAGTAGTATAGCAATGTCATCAGCAGTCGTTGCTTTAACTATGGCTTTTAACAGTTTTCGCTCGCCCAAGTCCATAGCCATTTCCGACTTTTGACCACTTTTGACACATGTTACAAACTCTTGAATGTTTTTAAAGTTGTTTTTTAAGGAATTCCACTAACACACTGTGAGCAGCACACTGTTAAAGCCGTACGTGTTAAACTCACTGTTCCAACTCCTCTCTTGTAATAATAGAAACGGCTTGCTGTAGTCGCCTTTCTTAACATCAATGTGGACTGTTTCACTGATCTGAAATACGGCCACACTGCTCCAGGTCACTTTGGTTTTACTGTCTGTAGACATGTTTAACTTTTTTTTCGATCTCCAACTTCTTCGTCAACTTTACTTAATGCTGCTGTATAACGTTTAGGTAATAGGTATTCAGAGTTTCTCGACTAGCCAGCTACGAATGATACAGTGTAGCTCAAGAAGTTGTGTTATAAACTAATCAACACAATTCTTTGACCAATGACAACTAGGATGGACAATACTACGTGACTCATTGAGTGTTTTACAACCAATGATAACCTTGTCCTAAAATTGGTCATGTTGATGACGTATTATATCAACCAACAAGAATGGACTTGCATAAACAAGCTCTTTATCTTAAGACATGTTAATGATGACGTACGTATGTAGGTCAACAAGTATGGAACGGTCTCATCAGCGACATTAAGGACATGTCACGCGGTTACACAACCATATGTGATAACCAACAAGCATGAACAATCGCGGACAATGGATCTTCCGTTAACAACATACGCTTTGCTGTTTGGACAAATTTCTCAGCAAGACCGTTTGACTGAGGATATCTAGGACTCGAGGTTACATGACGGAAATCATATTCTCGCACAAAATCTTTTAAAAGCTTCGATGAGAATTGAGGACCGTTGTCAGAATATACTACCTCGGGTATTCCATTGCGGGAAAAGATTTCTTTCAATTTCTTTATAACTTGCTCGCAGGTGGTATTTTGTGTTCTATTAATTTAAAAGTACATTGCGTATATAAAATGTTAAGCTGAGACAGGGAATTAAATGATTACTAGTACACAACATATCACTGATGGATGTACATACAGTACATTATATATAACACAAGGGGGAGAATAACAATGGACAAATACTTGGGTATTCTTTGGCCCATCCCTTCCACAAGGGCAACATTCTCAAAACAATACAGCTTTCCAGCTTGGCAACACAATAAGGCAACCTACATTACAATATAACACTCATCACTTTTCGTGCTACATTGCACTGTTATCACTTGCACACTGCAAGAGTAGGTGCCAATTGCCAACATTGCTCCCCTTGGTAGTACAAAAACTAATTAATTATTTGTGTAAAGCAAATATTAAATAGAATTGCCTAATTCCCTTAACTCTTACTGCATTACATACAAGATGGCACCTCTTACACTTTATATAAAAACTGTGTTGCCATCCCAATTCAAATGTACCAAATTATTACACAAATATTCCAGATATAGTTCAAATTTCTTGTGGAACCAACCATCATGTCACTAAAGTGTTATATTATCCCAACATACAAGGTTGGGTAATAGTTACCTATTGAGACAACTTTATTATACGTTGTAACATCTGGTAAACAATACCCCAATGACTGGGCAAATTCCATTACAGTAGGATTCAACACTCAAAATTACTATGTTTGTTACTTTCAAATTGAACCAGGATAATAGAACAATAGTAGTAACAATAAATAAATAAACTTACCAAACAATCTAGTTGAAAGTATTTGCAGTTATTTGCAGTAATATCCCGTTTACATAAGTAACCTGTACAGCATGTATCTGTATAGACAGTTGATCAAACTGACGATATCTGATAGTGGGCTACTCCCTTCAGCCTCTGCCAAAACAGAAGCTTGAATCCTATTGGCTCACATAAAATACATTATGTTTCAAGGCAAGCTAAAACATAATGCACCTTTATGAGATTGCTGATGATTCTCTTAGGCCACTTTGTACAAATTTCCAATGAACTTGGTTTATCCATTGCAGAGAATATACTTGTCAAAAAGCGGTTCACTCTAGCAATGAGAATGATAAATCTTGACAAACCATCTTCAGCATTTCCTTCAGCGTTTTCCTTCCTAATGTAAACGTATAATAATGAAATTTTGTAAGGATACCCAATGTTACATTTACAAAGGGACCACAGTTTGTTTCCCCATTTAACTTGTTTTGCTGATGTATACTGCCGGAAATTAAGATGTCCTTTGAATTTTTACTACCATTGATTCATCAAGTTTGAAGGAGCTATACAATATAAGTTTTCATTAAATTCATCATTCACATGATCATGAATTTACCAGCTTTCCAAATTTTGTTTGTTTTATCAATGTCCCCATCATTGTTTTCAAGGTGGAGATACCCCCAGGTGGCATTGATTCTGAATCAATAAGAAAAAATCAAAGGAAATTTGGACTTAATAACACATGAGATAGGAGCCTTACGGGTCAAAACTGGCAGTAGCCTCATAAGAATGTGTGTCACATGACCAAGTTTAAGGGGAAAAAGTGGGTCAAGCTTATAAAATGTGGGTCAATTTGAATAAGAACAATTAGACTCATGTTTGTCAAATCTGGAGGTAATAAATTCAATTTAAAACACATATCAACATTGTCAACAATTTATTTATCAGCAAGCATGCCATCTTAGTATCTTGTTAGGTAGACCTTAGAAAGGCTGGACATTCTGCTTTGTTGGCAAAGACATTGGTTTTGTTTTGACACGTGCAAAGATTGCAGATCATTCCTCTTATTACATTGTTCTGTTGAACTGGCATTAGCCAGGCAAAGTCCTCCACCCATTTTGCCTTATACTGTCTATTTAGCACTGCATAGATAGATTAGATGTATTTTCAACAGTTTCTTCACTTGTTCTTCCATGATTGCAATAAGCAGAAAAAATACCAACACAATAGCATCTTTTCCGACTACTTTAAATTTCATTTGGAAGCAGACTTTTGTTGCTCCCAGTTGTGGTGCTGAGAAACAAATCCCTTTTAAATTTGATCAAATCAATGCATTCATATTGGAACTTATTGAGTTTTTCTAGTGAAAATCGTAGCAAAATGTTTCAATTATGGAAGCAATTTTAACAACATTCAAAACAAACGATTTTCATTGGTTGCTTTTGGCCTTTAAATCACATGTTTGTTATAACAAATTTAATTCATCTGTCAATTCCACCAATCCTAAATCAAAAGTGCCCTATACCCAATTCTATGGTGATCTTTGATGCAAGAAGAGAGGGTCTGATATTCCATGATAAATTCCCCGAGAATTAGCGTAAGTCTATGCGTATGTCAATAAGACACAACTTGTTGTAAAATCTGGGTCAGACTCTGTCACATGTATGTAAAAAGGCATTAACGCTAGCCTAGGGTTATTACAGATAAATAAATTCAGAAATGAACTGACCTATTGCCAAGTGTAGAATACTCCTGAACATCACAACTTCGATGAATGCACAAAATTCTGTCTTACTAAGCTGCTCGCTGTCTTTCCATTAGATCCCAGCATAGCAGTTAGTCTCATCAAAGATATGGTCAAGAGAGGCAACATGTTCTGAAGTCATTGTGCCTCCATTCCACAACATCATCTTGCTTATTGTCGAGCAGCAGATCACCATTTGCGTCCACCCCAAGCTCTTAGCATATATTCAGCCTAAAATCCAAATCATCACCACTTCCAACATCTTGATTGTTCATTCCCAAAAAGCTGTCATCACTATCATATAAATCCACTTAATGTCACTACCAACACTCATTGTATCCTTTGGATTGCCTACTATCTTTGTAAATGGTGGAAGCTGACTTGCATGGTAAATCCAAGTATGGGCATGGCAGAAATCTTACCTCTGTCAAAACAAGGAAGGTCAAGGTTGACGCCCAGGGAACATAAACCACATGGGTAAAAACTACTACTCCAGTCGTATTATTTTCACTACAATGAGAGCAATTTTTCAATTTGGAACTTGCCATGTTGCTTTCAAGATTTTTTTAAACCTTGATATTTTCAGAAAAGGTTTGTATTTGGCACTGTACTAGTTAATCTGGTGTTGTGCCAATAAACATGCGGCCAGGATGCACATGCAGGGCACATGATGTCAAAGCTACCTTTTGCTGTTTTATAGTCTGAAATTGGCAGTATTTCTCACTGCTCTATCATACATCCATATGTCCAAGAAGCCATTTTTGCTGCCATATTTGTTCCGGGTACTGCATTCACTCTATATTTAGGTAATTCAGTAGGTTTTGCCTCCAAAGTTTCTATTCAAAATTAACATTGTAACCTATTGATATAGTTTTAACACTATTGCACCATAAAATGCATTCCCTTGACTTAGTCTGGTCTTTGTTTTTTCTATTAATTTCAGATTCAGCATTATACCT